TCATCTCATCTCATCTCATTAAACATACGTCCCATCATCTCATCTCATCTCACTAAACATACCTCCCATCATCTCATCTCATCTCATTAAACATACGTCCCATCATCTCATCTCATCTCACTAAACATACCTCCCATCATCTCATCTCATCTCATTAAACATACGTCCCATCATCTCATCTCACTAAACATACGTCCCATCATCTCATCTCATCTCATTAAAGATACGTCCCATCATCTCATCCCACTAAACATACGTCCCATCATCATCCCACTAAACATACGTCCCATCATCAGCCCACTAAACATACGTCCCATCATCAGCCCACTAAACAGACATCCCATGAGCCGCCGATATAAAGCAAAGTCACCGAACATTTGCACCACAATTCACAAAATAACAAACAACAACACATGAACAACAACTACAACAAAAAACCACAAAAAACAAAAATCAAGTAAAAGTAGTAGTTTTAGGCTGAGCACATCCAAACAGCTGTCCTACGATGTAAATCTTGGCGCTGTGATGTCATCATGACTAGAAACACAAACACGTCACATGTCTGATTCCCACGACAATTGGGACAGAACCACGACATATTCTGACATGACGCAACAAGCAGACCTAGATTTCTGAAGTAAAGTTTGTGAAGCGCCGTGGTGAAATCAGACATTCCTCAAAAACAAAAGGAACTGGCATTTTTCAGGCAGTTGAGTAATTATTTATTTTTTCTTTCTTTCTTTCTCTTTTTTAGGGGGAGGGGTGGGGCTATACGCCTATGTACATTTCTGTGCAGATTTTGCTGACAAACATTGATTATAGGCACAAAAACTGTAAATGTTTTTTTTCCAAGAACATTCAAACTATGGAAATTACTCAACTTTGGCGGCAATTTTCTCGCTAATTGTACTTCAGAAATCAGACAACCATCACCTCCTTCAATTGCAAACATCTCGACTTCTATTCAACTCTGATCTATATTTTTTCACAAAACGCAAGGCAAATGAACAGTCTTTAAAATGATACCAACAGTCGTACAGATCTATGGCCAAAAATTGACGAGCGCCTGATTCCACCACGAAGTGACACATTGTGTTCAGAGAAAAACAGATTCTGTCTTCCAGGGACACACCCAACCTAGCTCTCCCTCTCCCTCCCCC